CCAGGTGTGTTGAGGACAATAACTCCCAGGTGTGTTGAGGACAATAAGTCCCAGGTGTGTTGAGGACAATAACTCCCAGGTGTGTTGAGGACAATAACTCCCAGGTGTGTTGAGGACAATAACTCCCAGGTGTGTTGAGGACAATAAGTCCCAGGTGTGTTGAGGACAATAAGTCCCATGTGTGTTGAGGACAATAACTCCCAGGTGTGTTGAGGACAATAAGTCCCAGGTGTGTTGAGGACAATAAGTCCCATGTGTGTTGAGGACAATAACTCCCAGGTGTGTTGAGGACAATAACTCCCAGGTGTGTTGAGGACAATAACTCCCAGGTGTGTTGAGGACAATGACTTCCAAGTGTGTTGTGGTAAATGACTCCCAGGTGTGTTGTGCTCAACAACTTCCAGGTGTGTTGAGGACAATAACTCTCAGGTGTGTTGTGGTCAATGACTCTCAGGTGTGTTGTCCTCAACAACTTCCAAGTGTGTTGTTGTCAATGACTACCAGGTGTGTTGAGGACAATGACTCCCAGGTGTGTTGGGGTCTGAGTTATAGTCTCTTTTGCTAATTAAATGGTTGAGCATCACATCTGCTCACCCATTGAATCGAGCTAACTCCAAAAGTTAATTTATTGGGTTTTTACATCTAATGGTTACTTCATGAGAGTTTTGATCAAATTAGTCCAGAGGTTCATAAAATATTTTGCTAACATTCAGGCAAAGCAGACACACACACACACAGGCATTTGTACAATTGTCAAATCAAAATCTGTTGTTTATGGTGAAGAGAAAAAAATAAAGTTTAACTGTATTAGTTGAACCATTTTCATTATATAAAGGCAGATCGGATCAAATCGAATTGAATGGTTAATAACTGATGCAGAATGATATGAATCAATATTGATTCAATTTAGGGAATTGGTAACAATACCCAGCCCTACCACTGACACATCACCTGTTTGAGCYAGTTTTAAAATTAAAGATCTTGTAGAAATGAAAGAATCACCCACTACTGCCCATGTCAGGATTTCTAAGATCGTCTTTCAACGAAACATTGTACATTTGTTTAAGCCTTGAACCTGTAGTTATGAACAATAACTATCTTACCTGCTGTAGATAGCTTTTTGAGCAGCCTCAGATTGTAGAAACAGTTTGATTCTGATCAGCTTGATGAGCTAAAGGCTAGTCATAACAGGGACAAGATTAAAGTCGTCTTAAAACAACTCTAGTCTCATAACTTTCAAAGCAGTTTTTTCTGTACACCATTTTTTTTACTGTTGGTTATTTGCATAGAATTCTGCAGGTTTTTTGGAAGTGCAAATTGCAGCATTAGCAGTTAGCTGTAGCACTTCCAGCTGCAGCACCATGATGATTCATCCCTGAGAGAAAGAAAGGAAAATAGTGCTACATCACCACTTTTTTTTTAATTTATTTTTTGTCCCTGATTAAGTTTTCTCAACAAGCCGTTTTTTTTTTGCTCTCACTGGGGGTCCTTTAAGGTTAGTGGGCAGGAATCGGGGGTGGATTTTGTGTGTGTGTGTGTGTGTGTGTGTGGGGGGGGTGTACCATTTTCATTTATCATTTCATTTATCGCTCTATTGTGAAGCCCGTTGAGAGAGTGTAATTATAATTAGGGGCTTTAATAAACTTGATTTGCTGTGAGATCCTTTGGGTGAGAAGAGAGAGAGAGAGTGAGAGAGTGAGAGAGAGAGAGAGAGAGAGAGAGAGAGAGAGAGAGAGAGAGAGAGAGAGAGAAACGAGTAGAACCACTCCAACCATCATATTAAGGTTTTCTTTTAGGGTGAAATATTGTCCCGGCTACCCTCAAAGCTAAAACTCCGGAGTCTTTATCAGTGTCGCCAGCTGCCGAGGACAATTCTTTATGTTTTCTTTGTTTATGCATCAATTCTCTCAACTCAGCAGCTTTTATTTTTAAAAAATAAAAAGCTGAATGAATGAAATTTGAAATCTGCTTCTCTTTTGTTTGTTTGGTTGGTTGTCAGAAGAAAGRAGAAGCGTCCAGCAGAACATGCTGTTCCCACGCCTTCTTTAGCCACACGCTGCACATTTAGCTCCCTTTTGCTAATTCTCTGAACCTGTTTGTAAAATCATGTCCTGCAGCAAAGAGTTAGAAACCCAGGTAAATGGTGACTGCCTGCTGGGGCTCGGGGCCTCTGGACCTATTGAGTTTTGGCCTGGGGGTGGGGGTGCGCCCTGGGGGCCGGACCTCTGGGCCCTTTCCTGGATCTGCTCTGGTATGGCGGGTGCCAGTGGGGCCTATGAGTTTGTTGCTGCTGGCCCCGGGGGCTGTGCGTGTAGTCGCTGGGGGGACTCTCCGAGTTCTCCCCTATGGTCTGATCTGGGGGGTGGGTTGGCAGATCTTCCCGTGCGGGTGCCCCTTGGGGCTCTGCGCCCRGGATCCCTCTCGGGTCCTTGGGCTCTGGTCTTCCCTATGTCTGCCTCGTGTCTTGGGGGTTGGGTCTCCGGTCCTCCACAGTCACTATTAAATATTCCATTGGAGAAATCTTGTATRTACACACATGTTCACAACCGCTCACAGACAGGTGCTCTGTTCCGGGGGGTTCTGACAGGTCACTGAGTGTGTATATATGTATATGTGTATATACGGACAATATTTATGTATGTAGGCATGTACAGTATGTATGTATGTATATCTTTATATATGTATGGGTATGTGTATATATTTATATATGCCCTCCATGTATTTATCCATTTATTTTTCAGGTGAGCAGACAGATGTTGGGTGTGTGGTCCTGTGTTTTGTTGGTGTAAATATACTTATAATTGCTATTTCAATCTTTCTTTCTTTTTAATCACTTCTCTCTCTGTTTTTCTCTCTGTCTCTATTTTCTCTTCCCTTATACAGTTAAAAAAGTCACTGATGATGAAGAAATAAATAAACTAAATAAACTAATATTTAGTTTCGTTTTCTACTGAAGTGACAAAAAAAAAAAAGAAACCCAGGTAAATGGACGCTCAGGTGTGTCTCAGCATTTTTTCCTCTTAATTAGTTTKCTGTTGTTATAAAAAATAATAATAATATGCAGAATTTTTTTAAACTGACTTTGGAGAAGTTAAAGAAAATGAAGCCTTTTGACGTGCCAAAGAAGGCTTTAGTAAAAATAAATGCGCTCAGTTCCGTAAACAGAAAATTCTTATCTCTTGCTAACAGCTACCTACTTTTCTGTCTTGTGCCTTCGTCGAGACTTGGACTTGAAGAGGTGCAGCTGAGCGGAAGGTTGCCCTCTGTGTCTCTGAGGTGTGAACACACAGACCTGAATGTCACGTTGCTCAACAGTGTTACGTCCAACCTTCGGTTGTTTTTGCCTCTTTTTTTCCYTGCGTCTGATTAAACTGACCTTTTCCACTCTTTGTGTTCCTGAAAACAAGTGTCTGGGCTGCGTTTTATTCAATAATTATTACAGTGTATTGAAAAATCCAATAGATGGTGGTTTGCTCAGYGCKCTCAGGTTCTGAGCTGTGGATGTTAATGATAAAAGGGTTTTTCAAGGTTGAGATTAATTGGTTTTGTTTCAAGAGCCACGAAAAGATGGTTAAATTTTAAAATTAGATCTTTTGAAGTGGGGTTCTGTGGAAAGGTTATGAATGTATAACATCTTACCTGCAGTAGATGGCACTATAAATGGCTGCGTCTGAACTGCYATCATTTTTTAATGGTTAGTAATTTTTTTTCCATCTACACAACTAGAACAAAAATGTTAAAATACTCACACTGCATAACCAACTATTAAAAATGAGCAAGTCTGGATTTTTGTAGTAATTGAGATTTGC